GCTATATGTCGGCGGTCTGTAAATAATTTGTAACCAGACAATCCAGTGAGTGACATCATGAGCATCGATCCACGCATATTCGGATACGATGACATGCATCAACCAAGTCAGCGAGCCTGACAACCCGATCCCGTTAGTCGCCTCTTACGACAAGCAAAGTCGCTTTTTACGGCAAGCATGGGTTGCTGAAGACCTATTCTAGCCCGGATCTTCACAGATGCTGTTCCAATAGGACAATGCCAGGCCAAACGCACCTAGAAGAAACGGGAACTTTCTCAACATAAATAACGCATTCGTTTTGTCCTGTTTTACCTAACCACTCACAGATGTACATGTAACAGTTGTGGGATTATCTAGGGCGGCAGATTAGAAGACGAAGACGAACTAAACACAGCAGCTGGATTGTGCGTTATTGGCGGATTGATTAAAAACATGAAAAGATTTGGAAAATATATGTTGACAACGAGTTGTTGTGCAAACGATTTGCAAATCCTGCAATCGATCGAAATCTGCATGAACCGGATGTCGGTTTCGTTGCGCGATTGTGATTGGACAATGCATATATTCGTTAGACCAGCTAAAACGTAAACTCCATAATACCAGCCTAGTTCGGCAAGGGTGGAAACTGGACTTTTATAGTCAGGTAACTCCCTTGCCTCGGGAAGATGGTTTTCGGGTAGTGGTGACAAAGTTAACATAACGTTAGGTTGTTTTCATTTATGGCGCAACGTGTACCTAAATATTACAAAGACTTTTGTTTGAAATGAGCCATTCAGATGATATTTCAAGCGTTGTTAAAGATCTGTAGTACTGAAATATATCATGTAACTGAATATGTTATATTTGTGCAGAAAGCTGTAAGTAATATAAAGTGATATCCTACAACATCAGGCAGTCACGCTGCTGTGAAATGAAATGAAATCAATATAATACTATTCAAAAATCTGTAATACCAGTATAATTTTTTATAAGGTTATCAAGTAATAAAATATACATTACCTATATTTCTTCATACGTGTTTGTAAGACAATGATCACCTTCGCCTATACAACCTGATGAACTTTGAAAGTTCTTAAGGCATATGTGTACAGTGAACATACATCAAATAACTTTTAATAAAGCCTATTTATCCCTATTAACAAAATAATAATATATTATTTTTCATTACCTACGACGCACTCCGTGAAGTGGTTACTTTTTAATGAAGCATATTTATTCCACATAAAACAAATACAATGTATTCACAAAATAATAATATATTATTTGTTATTACCTACGACGCCCTACGTGAAGAGGTTAACTTTTAATAAAGCCTATTTATCCCACATAAAAAAAAATATTCACAGAATAATAATATAATGGTGCGTACGTGGTGCGTAGTTTGTGTATTGTGTGTGTGGTGTATAATGTGGTGTGGTGTATTATGTTGCGTGGTGCGTAGTTTGTGTATTGTGTATTGTGTGTGTGTGGTGTATAATGCGGTGTGTTGAATGGTGTGCATTGTGTGTGGTGATTAATGTGGTGTGGTGTATTATGTTGCGTGGTGTGTAGTTTGTGTATTGTGTCTGTGTGGTGTATAATGTGGTGTGGTGTATTATGTTGCGTGGTGTATAGTGTGTGTATTGTGTGTGTGTATTTGTGGTGTATAATGTGGTGTGGTGTATAATGTTGCGTGGTGTGTAGTTTGTGTATTGTGTGTGTGTGTGTGTGTGTGTGGTGTAAAATGTGGTGTGGTGTATTATGTTGCATGGTGTATAGTTTGTGTATTGTGTGTGTGTGGTGTATAATGCGGTGTGTTGAATGGTGAGCATTGTGTGGTGTATAATTAAAGTGTGGTGTATTATGTTGCGTGGTGTATGGTGTGCATTGTGTGTGTTGTGTATAATGCGGTGTAGGTTATTATGTTGCGTGAACTGTAGTTTGTGTATTGTGTGTGTGTTTTGTGTATAATGTGGTGTGGTGTATTATGTGGTGTGTTGAATGGTGTGTATTGTGTGTGTTGTGTATGATGTGGTGTAGTGTATTATGTTGCGTGGTGTATAGTGTGTGTATTGTGTGTGTGTGGTGTATAATGTGGTGTGTTGAATGGTGTGTATTGTGTGTGTTGCGTATGATGTGGTGTGGTGTATTATGTTGCGTGGTGTATAGTTTGTGTATTGTGTGTGTGTATTTGTGGTGTATAATGTGGTGTGTTGAATGGTGTGTATTGTGTGTGTTGTGTATGATGTGGTGTAGTGTATTATGTTGCGTGGTGTATAGTGTGTGTATTGTGTGTGTGTGGTGTATAATGTGGTGTGTTGAATGGTGTGTATTGTGTGTGTTGTGTATGATGTGGTGTAGTGTATTATGTTGCGTGGTGTATAGTTTGTGTATTGTGTGTGTGTATTTGTGGTGTATAATGTGGTGTGTTGAATGGTGTGTATTGTGTGTGTTGTGTATGATGTGGTGTGGTGTATTATGTTGCGTGGTGTATAGTGTGTGTATTGTGTGTGTGTATTTGTGGTGTATAATGTGGTGTGTTGAATGGTGTGTATTGTGTGTGTTGTGTATGATGTGGTGTGGTGTATTATGTTGCGTGGTGTATAGTGTGTGTATTGTGTGTGTGTATTTGTGGTGTATAATGTGGTGTGTTGAATGGTGTGTATTGTGTGTGTTGTGTATGATGTGGTGTAGTGTATTATGTTGCGTGGTGTATAGTGTGTGTATTGTGTGTGTGTGTGTGTGGTGTATAATGTGGTGTGTTGAATGGTGTGTATTGTGTGTGTTGTGTATGATGTGGTGTAGTGTATTATGTTGCGTGGTGTATAGTTTGTGTATTGTGTGTGTGTGGTGTATAATGTGGTGTGTTGAATGGTGTGTATTGTGTGTGTTGTGTATGATGTGGTGTAGTGTATTATGTTGCGTGGTGTATAGTTTGTGTATTGTGTGTGTGGTGTATAATGTGGTGTGTTGACAGGTGTGCATTATGTGTGTTGTGTATAAAGTGGTGTGGTGTATTATGTTGCGTGGTGCGTAGTGTGTGCATTGTGTGTGTTGTGTATAATGTTGTGTGTTGAATGGTGAGCATTGTGTGTTGTGTATAATGTTGTGTGTTGAATGGTGAGCATTGTGTGTTGTGTATAATGTGGTGTGGTGTATTATGTTGCGTGGTGTATGGTGTGCATTGTGTGTGTTGTGTATAATGTTGTGTGTTGTGTTGTGTGTGTATAGTGTGTGTTGTGTATAATGTTGTGTGTTGTGTTGTGTGTGTATAGTGTGTGTTGTGTATAATGTTGTGTGTTGTGTTGTGTGTGTATAGTGTGTGTTGTGTATAATGTGGTGTGGTGTATGGTGTGCATTGTGTGTTTTGTGTATGATGTGGTGTGGTGTATACTTCGATGGTGTATGATGTGCACGATGTGTGATTTTTGACATGTGTGTGGCGTGTGTTGAGTGTTGTGTGCGTTTGGTATGCGATCTTTAATGTAATGTCTGATTCTCATGTGTGTCACTCCCAATGATTACATACACATCAAAATACACCGCCTGTGAGGAAACTGGGTTACACTTGGTCCCGATCAAGCTATGCTGGTCGTGAAAGGCGCCTCACACACACACACACACACACACACGCACGCACGCACGAACAAACGCACACACGCACAAACGCAATCACATACGCACACATGCACACACACACACACACACATGCACACACACACATGCACACACACACGCACAAACGCACGCACGCACACAACACACACACGCACGCACACACACAACACACACGCACGCACGCACGCACGCACGCACACACAACAAACACACGCAAACACACACGCGCGCACGCACGCACGGACAAACGCACGCACGCACGCACACAAGACACACACACAGCCAAACGTACAAACGCACACATATTCCAAATTGCCCTGTCTACACAAGAGCCATCATATCACGCACACATATTGATCCCGAGCTATTAATTTCGCTGCGGCCATGCATCGTTGGTTGTTTTACTTCAGGAATTTAAATTTGTATGATTATTATTATTTTAATATTCATGAATAACATACGGTCGTTAATTACATTAGCACATGCGGTTCCATTGTGACTGACTGGGTCGTCTCACTGTACGCCCACAGCAGGTGGCGCTTTTCCAAGGATATAATAGGAGGCCTAGTTGAGGAGTGAGTGAGTGAGTGAGTGAGTGAAAAACACTAACAAAACAATTGAATCGACAATAAATGTTCACGAACCCTATAGACGAGGGATATAAACCTTAAACCGCATTGTCGAGCAAAATTAGCACTATAAAAACTTAAAAATAAGTTAGGGTGTAAATATGCCTTAATTGTATAAATGTTGCTTTACCGACAATACATAGCAGAATGTTTAATTGATTATAATTCTCGACGATTATCTACCTATATATTTCTCAGGTTATGTTTAATCAGTTTTTAGCATGGTTGTGACATTTTCTCTTGATACTGTACTTTAGTTGTTCAGTTTAGACAGAACAACATGGACCGTTTGTATTATCAGTAATTACAATAACAAGCAATCTCGGAGTTGAAGTCGAAAACTGTAAATGGCGAAGTGTGTGAGTATGGTTTTACCCCGCTTTTAGCAATCCTTTAGAAATATAACGGGAAGGGACACCAGAAATGAACTTTGTACCCATATGGAGACTCGAACCCGGGACTTTATCGTGACGATCGAACGCTTTAACCACTGGGCTACCCCACCGCCCCGTAAATGAAGAAGTGATATTTCATTCAAACGAAGATATATAAATTTTGTTAATGTCTATTCATGCGCAGAATACAAACAGCAACAACAAACAATTAGTAGAAATGTCATCAGTTTGCAACGTTAACCAATAAAACCCCAGCACGTGAATTAAAATAAATATAATGTGTAACAGCTATAATGTTCATAACCCTAACAGGGCCTCTCAACATGTGAGGCACATATAGTATGTGCAACATACTGGTAATGTAGACTAGTGGTGTATCTCAATGATGATGCTACGTGGAGCAGTGTCGGGGATACCACAGTGGTAGTTATGGGGTGTCCCCCCTCCCCCGACTTTCTCCTCCCCTCCCGATACCACGGCGTGCTGGTGGTAATAGTCACGGTCATAGTATACATCCCTGTGGGAGGCCAACTGCAAAGCTTTGGAGTTTTTGTGGAAAAATTAAACGAGGATTTCTGTCCGTTTGACTGTCTGCAGTTATTATGTGAGTATCCATTTTTTTATTCAAAATTCCGTAATATGTAGTTTATTCTTCTTTAGCATTCTAGTATATTATATGTAAAATGCTAGTATATTATCTGTAAAATACGTGGTTCACATTTCATTACATGTAAAATACTAGGATATTATATGTAAAATACTGGTATATTATATGTAAAATACAAGTATATTATATGTAAAATACTAGTATATTATATGTAAAATACTGGTATATTATATGTAAAATACTGATATATTATATGTGACATTCCAGTATATTATATGTAAAATACGTGGTTCATATTACATGCCAATAACATTGAGAAATGTTGCTACCGTATATCCGAACTTATCCTGTCTCACCGGTGTCACTCGTCACACATGAATAAATGCGACAATATCAAGTCTTTGAACGGCATTTAGAAATGACACATACAAGGAAGAGATTTTGTGGATGTCAAATTCTTTATAATGTCGCCCTTCCAAAAACAAGCAAGAAGTGTCAATATTAACCAAAGCGCGACAATGCGACAACACGACATCAAGTGAATAAATTCTATGAAGCAGAGAACATATATAAGTACCTGTAAGAACAACAAAAGTAAAAAGATAACAAAACTGGAAACTGGCGACAATATCCTTTGCATAATCACAAGAAATATCTGAAAAAAAGCAGAAACCGTTGTACGATTCCCACATCATAAGCATGTGTTCATCGACGTTTTACATTCACTTTCAAATAGTGATGATACCATGTGTTCGTGAAACAGTGAGCGTATCCTGTCCCACCGATAGCACCCGCCACAAACACATGCAAAGTCAAGTCTTCCGTGTTTTCTTTTGGTGAACAATTGACTTGCCTCTGTATGTGTTTGTGACGGATACCATCGGTGGCGCATGATGCACTCAGCTTTTCGGGAACACCTGGTATCATCACTATTTGATAGTGATTCATAAACACATGCTTATGATGTAGTCAGAATCCTACAATCGACTCTGCTTTTGGCAGAGGTTTCTTGTCGCTTTTATTAATATACATGTATATTATTTATGATCGTATCATTCACAGCTTCATATATTATTACAGTGGTAACACTTCCTTTTAAACACTCATAACCATGAATAACTATATGATACTTGAACAAAGCATGCAGTGTTGGACTATTGAGCAGATGAGCACTGCTGGACAAGAAAAGCACGCTTCCTGCCAACGTTGAATGCCCTGGTTAGGACATGTAACGGCTTAATACGCTACTATGAATTAATGTTTAATAATCAGGATATATGTATACTGGTGTCATGAATACAACCCTCCATTTGTCAACTGCCTAATAAAAAAGATTCATTATGTTGGAATTCAATATGAATTGATTTCTCTCCCAAGGCCAAAGGGTGTGTGTGTGTGTGGGGGGGGGGGAGGGGGGCGGTGGTGACGGCGGTGGTAAGCGTGACTTTGTAAGGGTGAAAGTAGGGTTGCGGGTATGGGTAGGGGTTGGGGCGAAGGTATGGTTGTGGGGGATAGTTCTTTGTTGGGAATGTGTTCTAGGGAGGGGAGTTAGGGTGGGGGTAGGAGAGGGAGTTGGGGGAGGTAGGAGGGGCGGGGATGAATGATGTTTTCAGGGGAAGGAAGGTGGATGTCGGGTGGCCGATGCGGCTGATGTTTGGGTTGTCCACGGGCGATGTTGGCTTGTTTGGTTTCAAGGTCCTTCCGTTATCCAAAACAATACAAAAAGATCAGTTTGAAACCAAGTTATATCTTTTCATTCCAATCTATTTCATTTCAGTGGAGACCCATGTCATATTTCGATGTAACCTTTTCAGAGCAAGGGTCGGTATATGCCGACGGCTAGACCTACCAGTCTAAATATCATGTCTTATAGCTTTTGCATCAAGAACCCATTAATGTAGTGACAGATATCTCGGAACGCCTCAAACCAAGATATTTGTTTGTCTACTTTGTTCGTATATGATTGTGCAAACCAATTATCGTTTTCATTTTACCGGTATACTAAATGTCAGATATTCCTATCAAATTAGGTGGCATCGATGCTTTTATTTTTTAGTACAGCTTATCACTTCAATATTGATATGGTGAAGTATATGGTAAAGGGCGACTCTATTGCCGATTAATGAAATCCGATCCACGATCCAGATGAAATGATTGACATGTGTGCACGTAGATGACCACCGGGCCAGGAACGCACAATGAAATTGACATTAATCTGCTGTCGACATTTTGATGGCCATACCAGAAAATTAATTTCAAAATGAAACGAATGCGGATTAGTTTTTTTTTATGACACACGGTGTGGATTTACAAATGACATTAAATCTTGGTTGGGAAAGTGATATGAATAGAGAGGTATACACGTGACGAATTGTCCACCGTTTTTAAGGTGGCTATTTTCATGTTTTCTGCCCTGGGGATTCTGAGATGTGATAGATGCCCATCAAGTTATGCTTCTTGCAACCTCCCCATATTCCACATGATGGCGGTTTGTGAATAATCGAGTCTGGACCAGACAATCCAGTGATTGACATCACGAGCATCAATCTATACAATTGGGATACGATGCCATGCATCAACCAAGTCACCGAGTCTGACAACCCGATCCCGTTAGTCGCCTCTTCCGACAAGCATGGGTTGCTGAATACCTATTCTTACCCGGGGACTGAAGATCCAGTACATAGTTGAAATGTTTTGACTGCACCTTATCGGTGTGCTCCTGTACGTGCGGCAATAGATAAATACTACGTACGTGACTGCACAAGAATGCATTATATGCTATGTGGATTTAACAAAGAACAAATAAAAAGTTAAAACGTGGAAGAAACCTAATATCCTCACTATGGAAGGCTTTTAATGATTTTAACCATATGAGTATGAGATTTATTCGTTGGCGTTCCTTTCTGTTGTTAATTGTGCGTGGTTTGTTTCAAATGATGACCATAAAGCCTGCCCATGTGAAAATTCATATCATTTTCTAATTTTATTTAAATCAGCTAGAAACGAATTGATGCACTCACTATTGTTAATTGTGAAAGATACTTGTGATGTAAATATTGACCTGATGCTTGTTGGAAATGCAATTTTACCTAATCATGAGAACGAAAGCATTTTTAGGAATGTACATACATATATAAAGAAAACAAAAAGGTTTGAGTGAGCAGTGTGAATGTACATCATCACCATCATCATCATCATCATCATCATCACCCCTCTTCCTCCTCATTATCATTTTATTACCGTTATCATAGTAATACCATCTCATTATATTATCCATTATCCAATTACTCATTTGGAGTATGGGATATTCTCAAAGATGATGGGTTGTTCAAAATGGCTCCTTAGTATGAACGAGTCTTGGATGTATGACCTCTCAGAAAACAAACCTTCAGTGGTTGGCAGTTTTCTCTCACAACTTTCGTAGGCGTCTTGAAAACATGCTGCCGGACAAAATATAGAATACACCCATGTTTGAAGGTGGTTAAAATGAAACAAACAAGAAATGGTTATCTCTACATCCCGGCTGAAGTCATGCAACATGTTATGTCATAGCTGCACGTGCATTTTCCCAACCAATGTGTTGTGTTCCGGACCTTAAGGTCTTGATAACGATCATTGTATTTTGTGGGTCAAATCAACTCTCCTTTACCGTCCGTCTCCAGTGTTATCTAAAGAAAGTTATGCACCAGTGATTAGAGGCGTAATAAGCTGACTCCTTCAAAAACATAGAAGACCTGCCCGTGTGAGTGAGGGATTTGGGTGAGTGAGTGAGTGAGTGAGTGAGTGAGTTTAACGGCGTGTCAGTTTAATGTGGGGGGAAAGTCCGAAGTGATGCAGGTCTCAGACGTTTACCACTTCGATGAAACCCACGAGCACCGTTATGGTGCTGACAAACCTAGAAACATAATCGGGATTCGAACCCACAATCATAGGTTTTCTGCCCAAGGGACGCAACTCTGCACAGCGAATCGCAGCGCCTTAGACGACTGGGCCACCCGTGCCCCCTACCCGTGTGAAATGACAGAGAAGAATAAGAGAGACCTACTGACAGCACATCTCCTGATAATTAATTGACCCACTAGTGTGTTTGAAATTTGTTTACTCAAAGAAAAGACGTTAGATAATACTCGGTTATGAACTCCAATAAGTGTAAATAAATAACGTTCTTGTTGTTATTAGTAAGCCACATCTTAGGCATGATCAGTGGTTTAATGTTTTAATACTAAAATAACTGAAAAACATATGAGAGACTACTCAGGTGAAGGGGTAGCTAAGTTTCTTAATAATTCTTGTTTTAGTCAAAGAGTCCTTCCCCCTATTTACTAAGCTACTCCTGAGCAGGATATTTTAAACTATTCGGCTTTATTTCAAGTTTTAATCCTATTAAGGTTGTTTCTCTAGTATTATGGAACTGACTGTAGACAACATGAACGGTAGTCGAAAGAAAGCTGCACTACCAGCAGTGGCCGCGTGGCGGCCGGCAACAGGTGTTCCACTGCTCAGGGCTAAAGTGATGTAGTATCAGGTTAATTGCGATTATCTCAACGATGAGCGCGCTAAACGCCGCAATTACATTAAACATAACATCAGTCTCCAGTGACAACAGGTTGTTGTTTAGTATTCAAAATTATTCTTCTGTAGGCAGTGCTGGGTTGTGGGATTTCATGTTCTATGGAATACACAAATAAACATTGCCGCAATGTCGGCTGTAGCCCTTGTAAAAGCAAGCGGAACATGCCAAAATGACAGCGCGACATTGCCACAACGCCACAAATTTAGAACTGAAAAAATGTCGAGTCGTCGCATTGTCGTCTTTTGGTAAAGATATTTATTTTAGTAAAGGCGACAACGCGTCAATTGGTACACAGTCACCTTCCCGAGGCAAGAATCTTCCCGAGGCAAGAGAATTAACTGACTAAAAAAGTCCAGTTTCCACCCTTGCCGAACTAGGCTGGTATTATGGAGTTACATTTTGGCTGGTCTTACCTTGGGAACTC